CCCCCAATAAAAAAATCTGCTCCGCCGTCCCTGACAAATCCGAGGACTCATACGATTCTGTATTTTCCAAAATAAAATCTAACTTAATGTGTGTTTTTTATGATTGTAAGCTTAAGTTTAGCATGATATTTGATGCCGGTCCAAATGGCAAATAATCGAATTCAAAAACTGAAAAAATTCTCCGATTTCCTGCCAAATTTTGGCGATCGATTGACTGGACCTCAGATCGCAAAACAATTTTCGTTGAATTTTTAGCTTTTGAAAGACTAGGGTTAATCCTAATGCATAGCAAAAATATGCCCAACCTCTGAAATTTGATTTTTGCTTTTAAATTCTGAATTTTGGGAGATTTTATATTTTGGAAAATCAGGAACCGTGCATGGATGGACTGGAATGGACGTCGGTTAAGTGGATCGTGAGCCTTTTTACACCGAATTTGCAGCTCTTATTCTATAATTTTTATTTCAATATTCATAACTAGTATCTTTACGCTGAAATTCTGCAAAAGATCAAGAACTGATTTTTTTTTAGTTATCACGAGTCATGTTGAACGAATGGCATTGACAGTCAACTATTTTTGGGTATTTTTGTTCATATTCCTTTCTGGGAGATAAGTAAGCTTCTTGTAGCTTCTTGTTTACTACATTTCCATTTATAAATAATTTAGAACATAATATATCCTGTTTCTAACATCCATTTTTGGCTTTGGGTTACTCAGCCAGATGATGGAGAGGGTGAAAGACTGCCACTCATGTCCTCTGTCACTGGGTAAACACATTTGCATGGCCATTTGGAGATCAAAATAATCCTCTTCAAGTTCCCTGTGCCATCTTGAAATTTAACCATGCCTGTGCTTTGAAGCAGGAATGGCGGTGACATGAATAATTGTCCAAGGTGTTAAACCAGGTCTCTAATATTGTAAGGTCACTGCCATTCACTTTCATGCATAGGCACAGTTACCATATTTAAAATGGTGCAGGGACCTGTGAAGGGGAATACTTCATGTTCAAAAATATATTTCTTTAATCCACTTGTAAGATATTTTTTGAACAGTTGAAACAGCCTTCTTTCTCACATGGCAGTTTTGTTTGCAGGAGCAATACATTTTTCTCTCGTGTCAGACTTTATAGTATAAACCTACTTAATGGTCTCTCACAATTCCTATGCTTTGATTGGCTGAGCTCCTAGTTGTCTATTAGTGTTACACCACTAGTAGAGAAAAATGCCAGTTTTGAAAACCAGAACAGCTCAAAAAATAAATAATTTCAGCCTAATTTCAAAATTATTTGAAATTATGTTGAATTATTCATTTACTTCACCAATCAGTAGGTTTATATTAAAACAATATTAGACCTCTCGCCCTCATGGTCTATTTAGACTCATGGGTTATTGACCATTTGAGCTGCAGGCCGAATTTTTAAAATATTCTTCACTAGTATTCTAGTCTGATTCAAGCCAGGACATATCTATAATTAACAAAGGGTGCAGTCAATAGGTCTGCGGATCGGTAGATTTTGCAAATAATTTAGTACTGATTATGGATTCATAGCAAAATTTTAACAGATTGGCGGATTGTGCAAATACAGCGAATTACAAATTTATCCATTTTTACAGGTCAACGGTTTCAATTTTTGCTTTTTCAGCTTTTTTATTGTTTTGGCTCATTATAGAGTTAGGATTGTGAATTTAAACCCTCGTGAGAAATTTTTTGCTTGTTTTCGTTGACCAGTCCAAAAATACAAGTCAACTGCCAATCTTTTTGCTGATTGACAGAATAAGACGCATTAATGTTAATGGATTGACAGATTTGCCTACCCCTATTCACCAATTACAAAGTCATAGAACTGGCATACACAAGCTACTGATAAAGGAAAGCCCACATTCTGTACAAGTATTTCAGCCTAATTCATGGACATATCTACAAAGTTATAGAACTGGTCTATCTCTTGTGCAGCTTTCTGTGGACTTGATGACAGGTAGATATCAGGGTTGTCTTTCCCACAGGCTTCAACACAACTTTGAATACAATCTCTGCCATTTACTTCCATACCAATTAATGGTCCTGGGAGCAGAATGAAAAAAGTGAAAAACAGAAAAAAAAGAAAAGACAAATGAAAAGGTTGCCAATGGGAATCAAGGGTTGTGTATTTGTAGTGTACTTGCCCCTCCCCTCTGGGGTCTTGGTATTGATTCCCAGACTTAGCATTGAGAGTACTGTACATGTGAGTAGAGTCTGTTAGGTCTCTTCCTAACAGGACTATTTATACAGAGCGATGGTTGCTGTTGCCAACCATGTGCTCACAGCCCAACTTTGCAAAGAAGCGTAAGAAAACAGCATTGAAAAGTACAAAAGATTTTTTAAGAAAACAAATAAAACCTTTTTTCTGTGCTCTAACAAACCATGAACCATTACTGAATGAAACACAGAACAAAGTTGTTTTATTTGTTAAAACGAGTGAATGTCCCACCTTGAGCTACTGCATCATTGTACTCTGTAGAACCAGTAACCCTTGCTATTTCATCAGCTTTCATGCTTACTTCCTTAGTCTGTACTAATATGCATTCCTACAGGGAAAAAAGGGGAAGTCAATAATATACATAAGTAAAAATATGCAGGTGATTATAGAAAATCTCGCATGCTGATTGGTTAACAAACACGCGATACTATCACCCCGAGAGAAAATCCAAAATGTCAGCCAGCCACTTTGTTGCTGTTACCGGGAAAAAATGCCTTTTATCTTTTTTTTTTTCTTTTTTTGAAAGAATCACCTGTTTATTTATATTAAAACAATTATTTGCCTCAGGCTCAGTGAATATCGGAGAATATTTACCTCGCCGCTCGAATACTCACGTCTCAGTAAACATTCCCCGATAATCACTTCACCTTCGGCGAATAATTGTTAAATAATATTCAATATTTGGTTCCACAGTTTCCTCCCTCGTAAAAATCAGCATGTAAGTTGAGAGTAATGAATGTAGTGGCGGCAAGTGTCCCCAATAAGGTAAGTGTTAAAGCACTAGAATGACTAGAGACTTGAATAAAGAGATTTATTATAAGTTCTTTTTATTTTACTTTTATTTCTATATTCAGAACTTCATTTCATACCTTTTCTCTAATTTTTTCCAAAAACTTTTTAATTTTCTCTTTTCTTTGTGAGCTTTGGAAAAATATCACTAGACACACCTGTAAAATACAAAACAAAATATTTAAAAGTATTTTTAAATGATTCATGGTCTAATTGTAAACTAGTAGACCTTATTCACTTTAATTTATTTAGATAAATTGTGGGTTGCGTAGAAGTAGACGTGCACTTGCCACTCAAAAAAAAGGTAAAGGTAATTTATTTTACTTCGATAACGTGGGGAGTGGTTGCCCAAAATTTTTTCCTATTTCAAATTATAATTCTCTTTGATAATAAGATTATTTGTCTGAGCTTCATGCAATATTTAATATGCACTTTGTTAAGGACTGCTGGTGAAGAAAGAAACAATATTCAAAGGAAAACACATGATCTCAAGTGAGATAACAACAATGTAGCTCTGTTAAATACCAAGGGTTTCATTAAGGGTTGGTGATCTGAGAAAGCTCTGTATAATCAGCAAAATTCTCTGGCTTAAACTACCACTTACACTAGTTTACACTCACACTAGTTTTTAGCTAGTTATATCTTTTCACTTACACTAGTTTACACTCACACTAGTTTTTAGCTAGTTATATNTAGTTTACACTCACACTAGTTTTTAGCTAGTTATATCTTTTCACTTACACTAGTTTACACTCACACTAGTTTTTAGCTAGTTATATCTTTTCACTCACACTAGTTTTTAGCTAGTTATATCCACTTATAGCTCAGTAATTTGCAAAATGTTCACTAGACTCTCTGGTTAGCTCATGACCTTCTTCTATCATTTAAAAACTTAATAGCGCCCCTGAAATAGTATTTTAAAAGTTCAACGTACTTCATCAAAAGGCTTCCTTCTGCTTCCCAGAGTAACAGGAACAATGCTTGCATGCTTTGCTGTGGATACCTTGAYGCTGGAGAACTCGTCTGATGTAGGGACTGAGACAAAGTCATCTACATGTGCATCCTATGGAAGAGACAATAAAGTCTTTAAAGCAACTTGCAGTGCAGCCAGAAAATATCCTTACCTCCCTCACAAAGGGTGACTGGGATTTCCAAGGGGTTGGGAGGAACTTGGGAGAGTATAATGTTTAATTCTAGAAAATATCCATACCTCTCCATGGAGGGGACTGGAATTTCAGGGGGGGGGGGATTCTGAGGAGGGTATACTGTTCCATACAATACCTCCCTATAACGTGGGATTGTAATTTTCTGGAGATAGGAGTAAATTATATGGCAAATATTATTTCAACTTACCTCTGGTAGTAGTGACCATGTTACCTCTCCTGGTGCAGGAGTAAAGTCATGGAGATTGCTCCAGTTGTTGTTATATAAACTCAAATCTGCTGCTTCAAACTGACCTGGTGGTAAATATAAGTAACAGGAGATGACAAGGGGTAGATGGGTATATCAATTAAGAAAGTTGGGTTACGATTCTAGGATCTTGAGAAATGTATGAAAATGAACAAACAAATGCAGAGGGAATTGACGGAAGAAAGCAAGTCAGAAAATATTATAAAGAATGCAAACAAATCATGAAAGAAAACAAAAAAGGAAAAAAGAAAATGACCAAGAAATTAGGAAGAAAAAAAGAAAGGATGGGAGGGAGGAGAGAGGGAGGGAGGGGGGAAGAAATGGAAGGACATGTACTGTATAAAGGAGTACAACAACCGTCAACTTTGTTTCCAATGACAAGAAATGGTAAACTTACTCTCCAGCTCAGGATAATAATACTGAAAGCAAGCAAATTTCATTCCTGTCGAAGACTCTATTATAGGTTGTGTAGCACAGCAAAGAAAGATGTCCATTTTCTTGCAATCTCTAGTTCTGGAAACAAAATTGAACTTTAATTAAGTTAATGGAATAGGCCATTTCATGGATGCCGTTACTCAACCTCAGCCTCGTCAGCTTGTAATATATTCTTTAGATTACCTACAACCTGTGAAATTTTTAAGTGTTTCAATTGTTCGTTGATGTGTAAATTCCTTTCATTACTGCGGACTGTAGTCAAATTCTAAAGAATAATTACACGCTGACGAGGCTAGGGTCGAGTAACAGGATCCGTGAAATGGCCTATTATGAATTATTCTTGCTGAGATGTAATACATAATTTTCTTACCTAAATTGTTGACATGCTACAATTACTCTACAGTCTTTACAATCTCTGAAATAAACACTGCCGAAGAGAAAGAATAATTCAAATTATTGAGATAATCTTTATAATTGAAAAAAATATCAATATTCAAGGTTGTCTAAAGGCCTCCTTAGAACATCTAACTCTTTTGTAGCATGACTTGAGCAATGATTATTGCACCCCCAAATCGCACATAATAATAATAATAATAATAATGATCGTGTTTATTTAGTACCTGCTGTGCTATATAATATTTACAAGTAAAAATAAATATTAAAATTATATTAAAAACCTAAATAAAGGTACATGCTATCTATAATAACCACAAGGGCTAGCCGAGGTAGATAGCTCATTTCATTTCATAACACAGACATAGTGATGTTACCCAATGAATGGCAGCCAAGTTGCCGCAAATTCAATCTCTTCTAAAATGCACATTATTACCTTCCTTTGATGGGCCCTAGAAACATATTACATCCTACGCAGTCATCAATGGTTATCGTAGCTGAATGATCATATATATAAATATTGGAATCCTAAAAATGGAAAATAATAAAATCATAATTTTGTTGGGTCAGGAGCAGGGTGCAGAGGGTGACTGACATGGAGTGCTGTCATGAGATAGTGGAGGAAAGGGATAGACTCTAGGATAGATCTAGATAGATGAATGGAAATGAACAAATGAACTGAGAGGGAAGAAAAGCAAGAAAATACAAGTAAAAATGAAAAAAATGAAAGAAAACAAAAAGAAAGTAAGTAGGAAATGAAGAAAGGAAGAAAGGAAGGAAAGAACTATACTAAGGAAGGAAAGAACTATACTAAGGAAGGAAAGAACTATACTAAGGAAGGAAAGAGGGTGGGAGAAAGACAGCTGAGAGAAGGGAAGAGAAGCATACTGTACGTCAACACTAAACAAGAAATTTTTTGTTCATATTGTGAAAAACGAATAAAAGCTAATTGCTTAAGCTTACAATATCCTACTACTTATGGTAAGCTTTAAAAAAATTTCCATTCAGTCAATATTCTTTGACAAATACAGTATCCCAAAATTCGAGAATATGCTAATGATTTCACAGGATATGTTATTGTCAGTACTGTATTTCATTTTAGGATATAAAATTAATTAAAAACTGTAGCACATGTCTATCTAGACTTCTCTCCGCTGATTTAAAAGGTAAATAAGAGCAAGATGATATAACTCACCTGGCAATCCCGAATAATAAACTGTTCACCGTTTACTTTCCCAGGCGTTCGTCCTGCAGTCTCGCCCTTCAAGTCAGCGATTGTAAAATCCTTTGGGTCAGGTCGATCCTGCCTTTCCCTGCAGAGTAGAAAATCGCTTAAAATACGCCTTTTTGCTTTTAAAAGTATACGAATTTCTAAACCACAGATACTGAGAAAGAGTTTGTTTTGAGTATAATGTAAATGCAGCATTATTTGCTGAATGATAGCAGCGTTAGTTTACTTGCCAACTGAATACTTCAGGCTCTTCTTCGTCTAGTTTTTCGCCTTTTTTCGATAGCAAGCAACCCATTTTGTATTCCCAGACTTATTTAAAGGTATAAGGAAGCAGGTTTCGGAAGATTTTCATCGGAAAAATCGAAAAAATCGGGATAAAATGGCGCTTTTCACGTTAATGACAGCGTAACAGTAACCAGGCATAGCAGTCGGCATGGCAAACATGAGCGTTGCTTGGTAGCCTGGGTTGGAGTTGACCCGGGAAACTGTTGGCATAATATTTATTATCTATTATTTTATTATTTATAAACTACTTTTTATTATTGGTTAATTAATCTTATTGCTTCATTTTACACACTGTTAAATAAAGAAATTATATTAGGATATGACGGGAACTGTTTTTCAATTTTACTTCTTATTTGCAACGTCATCAGTTAATATACAGT